CTGTGGTGTTCATAAGGCAGCTAAGGAACCACCGGGCATCCAAACATCACGTTAGTTTTCAGTTTTGCAGTGAAACTGGAACAACTCCAGAAAACATAGGACATTCAGCAATGCTGATCATTAAGGGCCAGATTCTAATGCCCTCACTCACTTGGAACAGTGCTTCACTCTTCAAGTAACACCCCTAAGGTCAATACATCTGAACTTTCAGGCACTACAAAGTTTGGGCACATAGAGAAACAAAGCCATGAGGCTTAAATACAACTGAAGAATACTTTTAGATTCCCCCAGTGCTGCCCTTGGTCCCATGGACTGCAGCCCTTGTTTCCTTCCTCATGCTATTTTACAGCTTTAGAAGGCACCATGTACAGAGAAATGGGGGAAGGAGCCACTCTCAGCAGTGCAGGAGCTTTTAGTGTTATAATTTAGTGAAGAACCAAGAAAAGACAACCAAAATATTATGTACAAGAATTTCCTGTTTCCAGTTAGGGGTCCCTTTGGTTTATCTCTCTGCTGCAGGCATTGTGACTAGCAGTACAGGGCAGTGCTCACAGGAACATGCTATCACAGGGGCCAGGAAAAGACATGCAGAACCACACTGGGCTGCTTACTCTCCTCCAAACTGGCTCCCCAGCTGCCACCCACTCCTAGATCTTTGTGCTTGTGTCCCTCTGTCATGAGATCAGAGGAACAAAGGTAACACCACTGGTGTTTATTTGGGAGAAGTTATCTGATAAGACCACTACTACATTCAGGCCAGCAGGCATCAGGAATGGGCTAATAGGAATAGCAAGTGGGAAGGGTATGGATGAGCAGGGGCATAAGAAGTGGGGGCAGAGAGGATGTTCCTGACTTCAGTTCCTTGGAATAGCTCAGACACTCTTCCCCTCCACTGGCAAGATTGACAGAGCAGCTAGAGGTTCTAGACCTGACAGGGACTGGAAGGAGACATGCGGCACTCCTAAAGAGCACAAAGCAGAAGGGGTTCCCAACCCAGAGAAAAGCATTATTTATCATCCATTTCATAGTAGAAAGCCCTCACTCCAAGGGCAAAGTTGGCACAGCCCCTTATATTTACCATGCAAGTTAGAGTGAAGCATTTCAATAATAACAATAACCCCATCCCATTTGTGTGAATTTTGAGGCTGACAGAGGGTACTAAGTCATGGATAGGAGAGTGGGCAAGAACTAGAGAAGCCTGATTTCCTTTGCTTCATATTATAATAAAATTTAACCCCTTGGAACTACCCATGATTGCCCCTGGGCACTATAAGCTTTCACTTGTATAAACACTGGCCTAGACAGTGCAGAGGCAGCAAGAATTGGTGACTCTGGCCCCCGACAAATATTCACTTAGATGCACCACTGGATGTAATCCCCAGTCCCAACTCCATTTCCTGCCATGCCACATGTGTGTAGCAGGAGGCATGACTTTGGGATTGAGGATCAGATCCCTATCATGTCCTACTTGTCAGTGCAGGGGAAGCCTGAGATTATGATTCCAGGCTCCCCCTGCACTGGCAAGTTGAAAACTGGGTGCCCACAGGGATGCAGCCAGGGATGACAATCAGCTGATTGTCGGCGTGGGCTTGGGACTGCACTGGGGCTCATTCTGGATCCTAGTGCAGTCCCCAGCCCCAGGCAAGAATCAGTGATTGTTGGCTCAGCTACATGTTCAGTGTAAAGCATCATACAAAGCAGCCATAAAATTGTCTACATTATATGTGGAACAATTTTATGGCGGATCTGCCATTTTATGATGCCTCAGACTGTGTGCACGTACAGCACCCTTGTCAATTATGCTGCAATGAATACATTAAATCACAGCATAAGTGTAATGTGTAATGGGAGCCTTTGACTCCCCAGAGCTACTTCCTGTTCTTTCTATTCAACCCAGAAAGATTCTGGGCCCATCAACTCATGCACCTGTGTGGATGCTTTTCACCCTTCCAAAAGCTCACTGATTCCTATTGGAAGGGAAGAATGATCTGCCCCATTTGAAGAGGGCAGAAATATCTGTGGAGAAATGGAAGGGATATGGGATCAAAGTGAGGTGGAGAGAACTGGGAGGAGCAGTGATGAGGAGAGATTCTAATAGGGACAAGAAAGGAAGAGAAAGATTGTTTAATGGAAAGCACAGAAAGAGATGGAGGCAAATTTCCCCAGAACTGACTCCCTTTGGATGCAATAGCTCATCCTGGTGCTGTAAAGCTAGACAGTGTACGTCAGAAAATGACAGGAACAGAGACAAGACAGGAAGGGGAACAAAAAATGAGGAAAGACTAGAGTACGAAACATTGATCTCTGGTCCAGTCAGCATTGGCGTATGCTGGCGTAAACCTGGTGACCTCAGTGGAGTTATGCTGTTAACACCAGGTCTGAATTTGTCTGCGTGTCAAATCCTGGTCACAATCAAGCTAAAGCCTAGCCTCCTGCACTATTCAATGGGACATTCTTTGGCCCAAACCCTGGTAAGAGAAACCAGACATAAATGGACAGAGAGCACAAGAGAGCAAATCCTGAACCAAGCACCTCTGCAGAAGGGACAGTGTAGTGGCATTTCCCAGCTAGGTATGAAGGGTAGCAATGTGTGGGTGGTGAGCAGGGAGTCACAGGCAATTTCCCTCCTCGACAAAGCAGTGACTATTACTGATAGGGCTGGGAAACAAACCAACCCACTGGATTAACCCACAAGACAGAGCCCTGCAGGATATAAAGGAGTGTGATAAAATTTCATATACAGGTTTCCCTCACTTTATGCTGTACATGCATTCCTGGAAAACCGCACATAACTCAAATGTGCATAAAGGGAACCAACTTTACAATGCAAGTAATAGGGATATGTTCCAAGACCTCGACTGTACTGGCCCCCAGACCCATTTCTACCACTTTTACAAGACAATTTTAGTACTCACCAACAGCAGACAGGACACACAAGCACAGGGCACTATCATAATGGGGATGGCAACTACAGAAATGCGTATCAGAGACAACAAGTGAGAAGCACAGATCCACACAGGGGACTATATTTTGGTGCGCATCACTCCCACAATGCACCGCACAAAGCAGCTAACTGCGGGCTTCCACCACACCAATCACATAAGAGTGAATTTACCGTGCATATAATGAATTTTTGGTATAAAAAGGGTCATTGCATATGAGTGAATTCACACATACAGAACCCACATAAAGTGAGGGAAACCTGTACATTTTCTGGGACCAACCTACAGAACTGAATAAGAAAACCCAGGCCCAAAAAAGACTGCTGTGGGGTGATGGAAAGAATCTCCGATATTAAATGGTATAGGTTTATAGAGCTATTTCCATCTCCTCTTGATGTCATTAAATATTACAGGATTTTCCCAGAGAGAGAGAGAGAGTATGTTACTACAATAACCGTGCTGTTATACAAACCCTTTAACTGCAGTTTCCCCTTCTCCACTTTGGAGATAGCACTGCATTAAGCATTACAAAAATGAACGTCCAGAGTAGAGAACAGAGTGCTGGATCTAAGAAGTGTTACCAGGGACTCGGGGGAACAAGAAGCATGTCTGTCGGGATTTGGGGGTCATAAGAATGCAGCCCTGGGTCTGAGCACAGGGGACTTCACGGTAACAGAAGGCAAAGAAGCACAAACATAGAACTACTAAAAAAAACTGAACTGTGACACAAAGCACACGAGCCAGGAATTTCTGTGGGAACACTCTGGCCTGGCCTGGCTCTCTGCCCGCATCTCTTCCCCCCACAAGTATTCCTTCTCTCATGGCTCAGGGCTTAGCATATGTAAGTCAAAGACAGAAAAGCCCCTTTGGCTCTCACGATCTGTCCTGTTCTCTTGCAATGGTGTTTCTGCCTTTAGCTGTCCTCTACTTCCAGACAAAGGCTGAGAGTTCACTTTGATTACAGAAACTTTTTCCTCATCCATCCATCTGCTAGTCATACCCTGCTCAGCACCCCACAAGTAGCCCCAGGTATGAAGTCCCAAATCAAGAAAGCATTTAAGCACATACTTAAATCAATACCTATTGAATAAAGTATCCTGTTTAATTTTAAAAGCATGCTTTGAAGTCAATGGAACTTCAGCATTTGCTCAGGTACTTTGCTGAATCAGAGCAATTGTTGAATCATGACTATGACACAAAGTTAATTGAGAGCAGAATTTACCTCACTAGTTGTGGGAGCATGCCACACTGCTCTGGGACTCTTACTCCAGTAGACTGATAGTAAAGAAATCCCTGGGTAACTCATTCACTTCCAGGTGACTCCAGTACCAAAGAGTGAAAACTCCTTCCTTTTAACAACCTGCTCTGTTCATTTCTTTCCCCTTCCCACAGACAAAGTTAATGCAGCACAGCATATCCCTGAAATGTGTTGGGGGTGGGGGGGACAACGACACATACCTCTTGGGAGCTCAATAAAATAATCCCCGGAGGAAGTAACCCCTCTGTCTCTCTCTTCTTCATACTCGGAGCCTGCCCTGGTCTGGAAGAGCTGGACAGTCCCCACACGCCTGCTGTTTCTTTCATGGTAAACTTCATTTTCAGTCACGTCGGTCCCTTCTCCATTCACAAATCCTGAGTAGGCTGCTGGGACAAACAGGCAAACCCGTCAAGCTGCGATGCCACAGTGAAAGCCACGGCAGAGCTGGCACTCGGGAGGTGGGGGGCACTCTCTCAAATGCTTGTCAGCGCTGGAACAGGCCACCCAACAAGGTTGTAAGTTTAAGACCCAGCTAGACAAAGCCTTGGCAGGGATGATCTAGTTGGGGCTGGTCCTGCTTTGAGCAGGGGGTCAGACTAGATGACCTCCTGGGGTTCCTTCCAACCCTCAATGTCTAGGATTCTGCTAGGGGGCAGGGGTGGAGGGGCAGCTGTTTATAGCCACGGCGACCAGGGGCGAGCTGACAGCGTAGGGGAGCTGCACACACGACAGCCTCCCGAAATCCCACACCAGCGCCTCCCCCGCTCCCAGCCCCGGCGCTGCCCTG